GTGTGGGGAGGGCAGCTGTGTGGGGCAGCACTCCCAGAGCCACCTCCCAATCCGTGTTTGTCTGGCAAACTGCAGACAGGAGAGGTAGCTCGGCTGGCTTCTGTGTGCTTCTTTGAGAAAATTACCATCTTTGAGCATTGTGCCACTTGAAATAACAAAGCTAGAGATGCTAACAGAACCAATCGGTGTACTTACTATTAACGTACAACAGCCAAGATTCTCTTAGGGTCACTTGTTGTCTGGGCTCTTGTGGTTTTTACCTTGTGATCAGAAGTGTTAATTTTTTATGAGACAAAGTATTGAAAAAACTTCTTAATTTGGGCTACCTCCTTACTATTAATGTACTATTAATGCGCAATGGCTAAGATTCTCTCAGGGTCACTTGTTGTCTGGGCTCTTGTGGTTTTTACCTTGTGATCAGAAGTGTTAATTTTTTATGAGACAGAATATTGAAAAAACTTCTTAATTTGGGCTACCTTTTCTGTTCGTTAGACCTTGCTTTCTCAGGGAGAGCATTTTAATGTTGGGAGCCCGGGGGAATGACTGCTGACTCCTGTTGGTGTAGACATTTTGTACTGCCTGGTTGCATTGATCTTGCACCTCCCTAGGGTTTTTAGACATTGGTGATGTCACTGATTAAGCTTCTTAAAACCTGTTTTAGTGCTCTCACTAGCACTCTGCTGTGTGGTAGAGATACAGCAGCCTAGCAGGGAGTTACAGAATTGGAATCATGGCTACAGAGTAAGAGAAGTACACCACGAGGTGAAAAGAAAGAGACTTATGTGGGTGGTCACATTAAGGAGCATAATCATGTTTAATTAACTTCACAGTGATCAACATTCCTATAGGTGTTGACATGCTCCAGAGCTGTAAGAGCCTCTTAGACTGGTCATGTGAGCCTCTCTTATTCAGTCAGAAAGTAGGTTGATGTTTATCCATAACATTTATAGTCTAAAATGCTCCCAAATTAAGGCGTTGGCAAGTACCACACTTTCACAATGCTAGCATTGGGGTTTGCTCAGACTACCTTGGTATTATTTAGTTATATATATATATATATGATGCTACCTCAAGGTTCTACAGTAAGCGTGTGTTACCGATGTAGAGGATTTAAGCAGGCAGTTTAAGTCTGTTGGAAAAGCTTTGGAAATGGGACCACTCTGCTTTAACTTCCCATTTTCCTTTGCTAACCAGTTATAGCAGAAGCAGTGGAAAAATGGAAAATGGAGAGAGAAGCACGGCTTGCTAGAGGTGAGGAGGAGGAGGAAGAGGAGGTAAATATCTATGCTGTCAACGATGATGAGGTATGTGATGGTAAAGGTGATGTAATATTTTATGTGTCTTCTATGCTGCCACCTTGGATGTGGAGTTATTTTGCTGAGAACCTGTTGACTGCCATGTTCTGCTCTTCTCTCTGCTGAACTTTTTGTACATTTGTCCCTGTTTGGTAAAAATGGGTTGTAGCTGAGTATGCTTGGTCCCAGTTTTGAGGGCAGTGAAGGCTGGCAGGTAGGGAGGGCTGCTTACTCGGGTGAGAAACAGCTAACAGTTGAGACCTTGTTGTGATTTCACTGCCACTGCTTGGACTGCTGGTATTTGTAAGGGAGTGTGGTGTTAACACTGATCACTCTTGCTTCTAAGTACAATCTACATCCAGAAGAGCACAAGTAGTTTTGAGTGCAGTGTAATTTCACACTGGCAATGGCACGGCAAACCCAAGGGTTGCTGGGGTCTTGGTTATGGTTGAATCCTGACATGGCAAGGCTTTGCTGATGCTGCAGTCACTGCTGGGATGTGGGTCTTATTTCTTTATTTTCCTGGCTCCCAGCACCAGTGAGAGGTGAGGATGTTGCCACCCTCTCCAACCACCTTCTGTGAAAAGGGTACTGGAAGCTAGTTCTTATTTCCCAGTCTGTATCTAAGTGGGTTTAGCACAAGAATAAAAAGGAGGTAGTCCATAAGGTGAAACAGGTGGTTCCTTCAGTACCCTGTTTTGTTTGCATTATCTCATGATTCATAAGCCCAGCTCTCAGGTGTGAGAGCAAAGCAGTACAGGGAAGTGGTATATACAATTTTAAAGCACTTGCTTTCTTCTTCGTTAGCTGGCTCCTCTTTTGTTAATAGCTTTGCTGTTGCAGCCAGAGAGCTATGGAAGAGGGGGGAACGTAGCTTTACATTCATGCCCGTGCCATAGCAGAGGAAAAGCTGTATGAAGAATGAAAGCAATAATCCTGAAAATGTCAGGTGGCAGGATCTGAACGTGATGCTTGTCGTTTTCCTTTGTTGTTTGGTCCTTTTCATCTGCTGCTTGTGTTTGTAGTGCTGATCGTGCTCTGTCTGGTTCCTTCTGGCAAAGCAAGTAAAAAGGGGTTTTTTTATGACCTCTTTAGAAAATAAACTTGATGTGGTTGTTTCTTGGTTTGTTTTTAGTCTGATGAGGAAGGTGGCAAGGAGAGAGAAGGTGAAGAAGGCCAACAGAAATTTATTGCACATGTTCCAGTGCCATCTCAACAGGAGGTAAGACATCAGAAAATAAGTTGCAGAGGTTCACTCTGGCTTTTCAAAGACAGAGGTCTCAACTTACGGCAGGTCATCAGTAAAAGTGTCCTCAATTTGTTAGTTTTGCAACTTGACAATGCTGTGGAACTGCCTGGAATTATGGTGCCATTGCTAAAACCCTTTTAACCCCAAAATTTCAAGACCTTCATAAATATTACATAAATTGGAAAATGTGGTGTTATGTTAAGATAACCCTGATTGACTCGTATATCTTTACTATGCTTTTCTGCTGATAGTCTGATTTTTCTTTAAATTTAATGAGGAGATTTCTGAATTGCAGGATTTACGCTCATAAGTTTTCTAAAATTATTTTGGTGGCATGACCTTGAATTGAGTATTATATTTTGAGAGTGCTCTAGGGTATGTATTAGCTTAACAGTGACAGGTTGGTTGAAATATAACTCAGCAAGAAGGCTCTGGAGCTACGTGTCTTTTGGTGGATGTGCCTTTACATCACACAGATAGCATGTGGCAGTTTGTCTTCTGCTGCTCTCTTGTCAGACAGCAATTCTGTATGCTCCTGTGTGGTCATTTCAGAAAAATACCCACATAATGGCTTGTCAAAACTGCAGGAGAGAAATAATGATTAAAAACTTTGCTCTCTGGCTGATGGTATTCTCTTAATGAAGAAAGCATAACTGAGAGTCACAACTTGTTTCTAATACATAATCACTGATTTACATAGCAATCTCTTCTAATTAGATAGAAGTCAGTGTAATTTTTTCTGTTTTTTAGTAGCACATCACTCCATACCTTTTGCCTATAGGAATATGTCTTCTAGACTCTAAATTACAAAAAGCTAAGGTTCAGAACAGCTATTTTTGAGAGATGCTGTGTGCAGTTTGGACAAATACAAAATCATTACTGAGATTAAAGCAAATCTTGCGTGTTGGTAGTAGATCTTTAAAGTATATGCTCGTTAAAGAACGATGGCACTTCTAGACAAAATGTAAGCCACAGGTTTGTGTCCATTGCTAATGTGAAGGGTGCACTTGCTAAACTGTTCTTCCAGGGGGGTGGACTGGTGTGGTTCAACTCCACGGGTCTGTGTTTGTTAAATCTGTATCTGAGACAATGTTTGAAACAAAACTCAAGGGACTGTACTGAGAGTCCAATAAAATGGCAGCTAACGTCCCAATTAAAAAGGGAGGGAGCGTAGATCTGAAACAGGGGCATCTATTTTATTGCTTCATTTGACTTGCGTGAGCTTCAGTTGAGTATCAGAAAGGAACTCCTGACTCATCTTAATTCAACTGCTTTAACACACCTCTAGCTTTCACAGTCTGTTTCCTGTGGTTTTCTTCCTCCTGTCGTAATAGCTGAGCGTGCTGGGTTTCGGCCTCTCAATTAAGCTGCACGTCATCCTGTCTTTGTATTTGCAGATTGAGGAAGCTCTTGTACGGCGAAAGAAGATGGAGCTTCTTCAGAAGTACGCCAGTGAGACCCTCATGGCACAGAGTGAAGAAGCAAAAACGCTGTTAGGATTGTAACGTTGCACCAGTACGTCCCTGTTTCTGTAAAATCCGTCTGAAAGCAGCAGGTTCATGTATTCTGGTAGCAGTGGCTTTTAGCTCTGAAGGTCCCTTTGGGTGGTAGGAGTAGACTGATGGAGTTAGTGTGTGCTGCAGGAGGAAACCCGTTGTTTTGGTTTATCCTCTAGGATGACTTGTGCTGCGGTGCTGAAAAAGATCAAACGTAGGTTTAACATGTTTCTGCATCTCCAGCAACTCTGCAGTCCTTTGGCTGTGTAAAACGGTGTGTACAGATAGAGCCACAAACCCAGGGGCTCCCTAAATCCAGAAGGAAAACTGGGTGGTGTTACTGCTGCATCCCAGCTGTCAGTGTGCACGTCTTCCCCAGGATGATTTTTGCAGAGTCCAGAAGTAACGTACTCCATTATGCCTGGTTGGTTTACCAGAATGGCCCAGAACCTGTCCAGAGGTACCTCGATGGCAGGTCTCATGAGTGGCTCAGAAGTCCATTTGGTTCTTTATACAACAGATGGAATGTGTCTAAAAGCTCTCACCCTTTTTGTGGTTTGTGACCGTGCCTGGGTGAATTGCTTAAACGCTGGATATTTCAGCAGCCATTGTAAATACTTCCAACTTTGCAATGCCTTGTTCCAATATTTTTAGTAAAACTTATTTACAGCCTGGCGTCTTGTTTGGTTCTAGCTCAGAGGATTGTGTTCTTTCCATACTTGTAGCCCCAGAACGGGATGATAAAGAGCCATCCATGGAGGGACTGAAGCTCTGCGTCCCCTGCTGCCCTTAGCTTGTGTGTCCTGTGACAGGAGGCAGATTGCAGCAGAGCCTGCTCAGAGATTGACCTTGTTATACAGCTCTGAATGAAGGGAATTCCAAATTGGACATCTGCAGCCATGGAGTAAAGGGTTATCTAAGGAATATAGTGTTTAACCACCAAGTAGCCTTGTCTGATGAGAGTTTCTAGATGTTCTTAGCATTCTTAGCTCTGTCTATTGTAAATAATCCACTCCAGAACAGTCGAAGCTCTAAATTGTAGAGACAAGCTTTGTCTTACTTGGTGTAAATTATTGGACTAAAAAAGCATTGAAGAAGTGGGAAGCATAGCTGCCAAATTAAAATCTTTGAAAAAAGAAAGGTAATAAATCAAAAACTCAAATATTGATAGCAACCCCACAACTAACAGTACAAACATATTCTTCTCTCTCCCAGAGAGCAGAGTAGCTTTCTCTGCTTTCTAATGAAGCAGTAAATGAGTGTGTTTATGACTCGTAATAACTTGTGTACTCTGAGTTGCAAGCCACCTAGACAAAGTTGTGTTCGGTTTTTCCTGCTGCTCCTTGAGTTTTTTCTGTTCTTGTGTTTAGAGAAGGTGATGTGCTGTTATCCACGTGCTGTCTCTATTGCTGTAAAAAGACAACACTGTTCCCAGAGTCCTTCCCTAAAGCCCCTGGCCACCAAGAAAGGTGTTCTTGGTGTAACAGACTCTGTGCTGGAGATAACCGAACTAGATTTAGGAGGGGAAAAACCCAGTTAGTTTTTATGGCCTGATTAGAGTCTGGGAGTTTGAGGATACCAGTGGTTGGTCCTTCTGTCACTACATCCATCTGTAGCGGAGAAGATGGAAAACAGAAGGGTGAAGATGGATCAGGGACAGAAGGGATAAAAAAAGAATAAATGGGAGGAATGAGAGAAAATTGAGACAGGGTAGTAATTGCATTCATGGTCAAAGGAGTAGCTACCAGCCCTGGGCAAGACCCGTACAATGATGTCACTAGAGCAGGTTTTAAGGCAGTTCTGATCTCTGCTGAGCGACGCAGGAACGGAATAAATGTACAAAAATAGAGCATGGAACCGTGCGGTGGGAGCTGCGGCGGCTGCCTGAGCTGCTGCACCAAATACTGACTCGGGCTCCGAGCCCTCAGCCTTTTTAAGCTGGATGTTCCTTTTGGCTGCACCTGCAGAGCGGCTCTGTGCCAGCAGCAGCCCCAGGGGCCGCGTTTGGCTCGCAGGGGCCACGTTTGGCTTGCAGGAGCTGCATTTGACTCGCAGGGGCCACGTTCCGCTTGCCCTACGGGCTGTGAAGCTGCTGGTGGAGATGGGGCTGGGAGGTTTCTGTGGCTGTGTTCCGCTTGCCCTACGGGCTGTGAAGTTGCTGATGGAGATGGGGCTGGGAGGTTTCTGTGGCTGCAGCCAGGAAAAGGGATCGTGTGGTGTGTCCTGGGGGATGGGGTGGGTGTATGGGCTCTGCGCTAACTTGTTCTTGGACACCTACGTGCCACGGGGGTGGTAACTGGTACCGGAGCAGGGCTGGGGTATAAAACATCGTTCTGTAGCTTCTTGTGTCTGCCTTGGAGCTCTGCACTGTGCCCCAGCTCTGAGGGAAGAACCTCCCTGGTTGTTCTGTGCTCTGCACCCATTTTGGCTTGGTTTTGTGGTTTAGAGATGCATTCTAGAGTCGTGGAATGGTTTGGGCTGGAATGGAATGGTTTGGGTTGGAAGGGACATCAAAGCCCCCCCAGTGCCACCCCCTGCCCTGGGCAGGGACACCTCCCACCACACCAGGTTGCTCCAAGCCCCTTCCAACCTGCCCTTGAACCCCTCCAGGGATGGGGCAGCCACAGCTTCTCTGGGCAACCTGGGCCAGGCTCTCACCACCCTCAGAGTGACGAGTTTCCCCCTGAGGTCCCATCTCCGTCTCCGCCTCCCCCTGTCCCGTCCCGTCCCGTCGCTGGAGGTGCCTTCGCAGCGGAGGTTTATTCCC